GACAACGCAGTAGGAGGGTCGAGGAGAAGGAGGGAGGAGGGGAAGGAGAGAGGAGTACATGCGAAGGAACACGCGAGCACGCGACACGCCACGGAGAACACGCGCAATTTCGCAACGCGCGAAGAATGCCGCGAGTGCAGCTGCGGGTCGTTCGCTCGCTTGCCCGTTCGCTCCTCGGCATCCGGATTCCAACGTGAGGAAACCCCGAGCGAATCGGATAGAAGCCGCCGAGCCAGGGAGATCGGATCGGAGCCTGCGAGAAGCGGTGGTCTTCCGAATTCGTCCGCGCGCTCGCTTACGGAGAGAGAAAGAAAGAAAGAAAGAGAAAGGAGGGTGAGCCCGAGGGGAAGCCGGAATTCGGTAGTAACGGTATATGGGAAGCGTGGCGTAGGCGGACGTCCTTGATTCTGACGATAGCAATCGAGACTCCCTCAGATCCTCAGCCCCCTCGTCATCGCGCCGTCCCTCCCTCCTTCCCCCCCGGGTACCCCTCTTCCCCGTCTGATTGGACCGCGACGGAACTAGATTGCAGGACCGGTCGAGCAGTCACGTGTCGATGACTTTAGCAGGAATCGATGACCGAGGGGGAAATCGTACCCTCCTCTCGATTGGACCGGAACAAAAAATCTCGAAACTCGCGTGCCTCATGTTTTATATATAAATATAATAAAAAATAATATATATAATAATATAGGGGAGACCGGGGCAAACTTGACACTAGGCTTTTTGCCAATTTAAATCTATCGCAGAAACTTGCCTGTCCTACTGTAAATGCGTCTTTATGTGCCAGTATTATCAACGGAATTTGGTGACATTCTGAGTTATGGTGTAACTTTAGCGCGACATAAGCGTTTTCGATAGTAAAAAGTAATTTTTCTGATCTCTCGAAAATTTCTACTCTTTCATTGAGCTTTACTCTTGCGAATCTACCGATAAGTGATTTTGATGGAAAATTCGATGCTTTATATGAATCCGATAATAGTTTTTACATATTTTCAAAATTTTTACATTTTTGGAGTAACAAAAGTGAAAAACGACGTTTGGGGCAAAGTCGACACCACGCTTTATCGGCTTCCGATAACAAACGATGCTTTTGTTATGCAGCTATATGCGGCCATGACAAATGTGTGCGCACGTTTAAGGAGGTTCTACAGATAATGGATGTATCTAAAAATTGGAAAAAACTTTATGGACGTGTAAATTGAGATGCAAGAAAAGTGCTCGAAAAATTTTAGCATCGGTTTACCGTGTAAAAATTTGCAAAAATGAATTTTGAAATCACAGTTTTTAACATAAACTACATATGGCAGAGGGGCTCTTGGAGACAGGAAACGAGATATTAATTATATAAAGGCGACCCACCAAAGCTCAAAAAACGGAGCTCTTATAGATCTTAATCTAAGCTTTTCAGAAATATCGAGAAAAACAAGGGTTATCGCGTAAAATTTTGTGATATTGGCTATTGAAACAGGCCATATCACAGTTCACGTAGCGTGCTTCGAATAACAAGGGAGATTTGGCAATGTCGCAGCGACTGCACCCGCGCGAAAAGTGTACAGCCAGTACAGCACCACAGTATGACAGCACCTCAAACTTAAGCACCTAACGTTTACGAGCGCTTACGGAGAATACTCGCTCTAGAATTATGTGAAATTGTGAAATAACCGTGGTCATATGAGCAGAACTGTCAAGTTCGCGACGTTACCACATTTTCTTCCATTATAAGCCGCCAGAGTCAAAGGAGCACTTACACGATATTTTTAATTATTCCTCGCTTCGACTAATATGGGTATGATATAAGCTCTAATGTCATCAAAATTCACGAAAATATTTTATGAATACTTAGAACCGATGAATTTGAAGATTTTCTCTTCATCTCTCAACTGACTAGAGAGTATCTGTAGAACCTCCTTAATTGCAAATTTACTTACATAAATTGTTTTTCAGATATGAGTTTAGATGAAAATAATTGAATGTTCAACAATTTTTGTTCTCATTATTTCTGCAATGATTGTTTTACTTAATTTCGAATTTTTGTACTTTCTAAATACACGATAAACAATATATGTTTAGTTTCAGACAATAAAAAATAAGTTCCAGATCAAATTGTGTCGATCAGTTGAAGTGTCGAGTTTGCTCCGGCAATTCAATTTGAAAATTTGTCTTTGCGTCATTTTTTCTTTCCTGGGGGCAAAACTAAGCGACGTACAGTAAAATTTCCTTAAGCAATTTTACCTGAAGGAATACTCTTTAAATGTGTACCATTTGCTTGAAAATTTTAATTAATTGTTGAAAATTGCCTTTGAAAAAATCGTGTCGAGTCAGCCCCGGTCTCCCCTATATATATATATATATATGTATAAATATATATTTCTCTCTTGTACATGCGCGGATATTTTGATTCTCTAAATCTCAAAATCATCATAGAGTGGTTTTGCCACTAATATATTAGAGTGATTGCAATACTTAGGCCGGTATTCATAGTCGGATCTTATTTCAAGACCGTCTTAAGTAATGTGGTCACCGCGGCCATATTGAATTCTCACTATTGAGGCGAGGAAAACACCCAATTTTGTCGTGCGTACCATTTTCAAATAAAGAGACATTTCAATAAAACATCACTATAGATCGTTTCAGAACACTTCCGAAATTGACCGAAAACTACCCTTTTTCCTTGACAATAAACAAACAGCCATAAAACAAAGCTTAAACATACGGGAAAAACAGCCGTTTAACGACTATCAAGACTATCGAAAGAAGGTGAAAACGTTATTTCCGCATGCAAATCTTACTTTTCGGTCAATTTTACGATTTTCACGAATACGTTAAACGTTAGAGCACAAGCACAGAGCGAGTAATAAAGAAATAGCAAGCACGACAAAATAGGTTGTCAACATGTCACAAGACAGAATTCTCCATTGGAGAGAGTGAGAGGAGAGAGTGGCGGCGCCACCGTCAACGCAGAGTTCTCGGCTGACCATCCAGGAGCCTTAAGACGCTAATACGGCTCTGTGACTGGCTTATGATATCTTAAGGTAAAACTTAAGATGGTCTTAAATATAAGAATCGACTGTGAATACCGGCCTTAGTCACTCCAAAA